TACTTTAAGATAGGATTACCTATGTAAATGTGAAGTGAGGGCTGTTTCAAATGAAATACTTATAAATCCAAAGAGGTGATCCATGGCTTAAACGGATCAAAACGTGTACTACAAAATGAAGCTGAGATAGCGACATGTCAATATTATTGACTAAGGTGCACACCAAGGTGGAATAGTTCAATGCATCGTGTCAACTAGGCCACCGGTGCAGACAATGATATTGACTAAGGAAGGTTCAAAGCCACAAACTACCTATCCTGACGTATCAATATCTCTAGAACTAAGTGTGTCTTGTCCTAATTATGGACATTTCCACTCATGTGGGGGATTGTTTGATAATCGGTTGATCGATTATTTATTTAGTCGATGGAATTTAATTTATAAATTAAATTCATAATTTTTGAAACCGATTATTCGGTGAGTTGAAATGTATATAGACTATATAATGATTGTCAGAATGTGGTTCAGGCACATAAATGTCGGTAAGCCACAGTCGAGCGCGGCTCACCCGAATCTACGAATGTGGTCGTGGGTTGAGAGATTAGACTTGGGCTTGATGAATATTAGACTTGACGAAGTCTATTATACATAATAAAAAACACAAAAATATTTTATTGAACCCGAAGCCCAAGAATATAAATTTAAATAAGCCGAAATATAGTCATAATGTACATAGTTGCGTGCAAGAAATTAATGCACTCAAGTGCATACAAAAATTAAATTAAATGCATGTATGTTGCATGCATGGAAGAAATTTGTATATATTATTATATATGCATAAATTTCAAATTTTTTGAATAATGGAATAAATGCATTATGCATGCAAATTATGGAATTCAAACCAATTTGAATTGGTGCACGTTGGTCGGTTTCTACCAAAATCAATCAATTCAATTTTAATTGGTTTTGGATGAATTAAAGTCTCCATACTTGTACATGCCTATATAAAGGTTTCGGTTCGTTTCATTTTAGTTCGTCGGAGCTCCGAAATATAGGGGTGCCACCTAATTCGGAGACGAGCGTCGTTTCATCTTTGGGAACTTTGCGTCACGAACCGAAGGCACTACCGGGGTGTACTTAATTTTACGGAGAGAAGTACTACCTCAACTCGACGTGATTATCGAATTATTTCTAATAAAATTCTTGTGATTATCAAATTTATTCTGATAAATTGATCATCGAATTTATTTCGATAAAATTGCTGTAATATCGAATTTATTTCGGTAATTATATTTTTGAAATATAAATTACTATTATATATCTAACAAGAAACCAATACACTTTTATTGAATTTCCAAATTTTAATATTTGAATTATTTGGACTTGCATTTCTTAACTTAAACTATCCCATAAAATATTATTTAAATAAATTGCTCTGGGCTCAACTATCCACTTTGATGGACCGGGTTTGGTGGATTTTCTCTTCAGCCCAGATTGAAGATCGAAAAATTAAATTAATTCTATTCCAAAAATAATTTTAAGATAACAGTTCTTGAAAAAATTATAAAAAATCTAAGCGAGGCAAAGAAAGAGTCCAAAGGGTTAGGAATTTAAAATAAGGCCCAACTAAATGAAATATTAGGACCTAGATTTGTCAGGAATATGGGTGTCAATTCGTGTTATTGGGTCATGTTCGTGTCGGGTTAAGTCATGAGGATAATAAAAAACTATCAGCCCGAACTCGATCCGAACCCGAAATCTGACATGAAACCCTAGACCCGAATACGATACGAATTCTTTCAGGTTGGGTTCAGGACCTGAATTAGTTTCAGGTCACCCGAAACCCGAATAAACCCGACACGAAATAGATCCGAAAACTTAAAAAAAATTAAATTGACCTAAAAAATATCATTTTTATTTTAATTTTTATATTATTTTATATTTAAAATAATATAAATATTATAAATTAAAATAATAATAATAAAAATTTCAGGTCAATCCGAAACACGAAACCCAAAATCTAACCTGATTTTTATATTTTAGGTTATCAGGTCAACTCGAAACACGACCCGAACACGACACTAATTTTTTCCGTTTCGGGTTCGGATCGACCCGATTTTTTTCAAACTCGAACCTAAAAAATTTCAGGTCGAACGGTTCCGTTTTTCAGGTTGGGTTTACTTTTGACACCCCTAACCCATGTATTCATAAAAAAAAAAAAAAAAAAAAAAAAAAGACGAACAAATCTTGTGTGATAATTATCATATATTGTATTTTATGTGTGCTATATATATTTAAGTATGTTGCAGCATTGTTCTAAAAGTTTTGATTTAACACAGGAACTCTATACCTTATACACACATATATATATATATATATATTATCATATATGTACTTATATATAATAAAATGCAGTCCATTCTTTACTATTTCATTATTTTATTTATATATATTTTTTAACATATATAGATATAATATACTTCTTCCGTCTCATAACAAAGTATCTAATTTTCTATTTTAGTCCGTCTCATAACAAAGTATCCATTTCTTTTTTTAGTAATTGTACTTTCTATCTAATATTACAAATACCCTTACAACTTACAATACATTACACAAATGTCATTACCTTTATATCACACATACTAATAAGGTTATTTTAGTCATTTCCACTTTATTTCTACTATATTCCAATATAATACTAATATTTCTAAAACTACATATAAAAAGCAAATTGATACTTACTTTTGGGACGGAGGAAGTATATAGTATTAAAAAATAATTAGAATAAGATAAAAGATATACTCCTACGAACCCGCAATAAAATTGTCATTTGGTTTTTACTTTATTTGTACTTAACATTAAAAGTATCCTTATATTTGAATAATTTAGTCGAAAAATATTATTGTATTTGTATTATAAGATACTAATAAACGTATTTTTGCCTTTCTATCTTGATTTCTACTGTGTATTGATATAATAATTAATATTCAAATATCAATACGCAAAAAAATCATAACAACTTTCTTGCGAGACGAGGGAGTATTAAAATTTTATATATGATGTATTTGTTTGGATGTTGATATTTTGAATTTAAGTTTTGCAATTAAATTTGAATATTTTTTTTAGGATATAATGAGTGTTATGTAATATTTTCAACGTATAATTAATTTTTTTATTAAAAATAACAAAATATTTAAAAAAACTCCAACGAAGGAAAAAAAATAATTTTCAATAATAATTTTTTTTTTTGAAAATTTTAAAATTAACCCCTCTTTCATCCGATTCTCATTCCACCTACATGCGTATTATGCGCTACATTTATATGTATATATATATTTAAAACAAAAACAACTTGCACGACCGTGCAAACACCCAAGAAATCATTTATTTGAAATTTATAATAATACTAATTTAATAAAATATATACCATATGTATATCATTTTTTAGATAATAAATTTTTTTATAATATAAATAAATAAAAATTAAAAATATATACGTAGATAAAATACAATTTTATAATTAAATTATATTATTGTTAATTTTAAAAATTTAAATTTAATACATATTTATATTATTATATTTAGTACTCATCAAATTAATCAAAACTTCCAAAACTCAAACAAAACGTACACACTAAAGCAACCCATAAATTAAAATCTATTTTAAAATTCAAACTAAATCCAAACTCATTTTAAAATTCAAATTAGATCCAAAATCAAATTTAATTTTTTCAAACCACCACGGTAAAGAAACACACCTTAAATAAACTGTACACACGGCTTTGGTGGCTCAACATGCATGCATGATTTCTGTCAGAATCAGACATGAAATATATACATATATATCTATATATCTATATATGTATGTACGTGTTGTTATTCTTAATTTTCATATCCATATATATATCCATTCAACGTAACCTACACATGCATTCATACAATTGATTTGAGCCCTATATATATATATATATATATATATATCTATAGTAGTACGTAATTGTGGCAGTTGCTGCCTGCCTAGTGTACCAACGCCATTTGACCCGATCATCAATGGAACAAACTAATTACTTAATTAATATAGTAGTGTGAGGATAGACAGGGTTTGTTTAGATAGAGATTTTTGGAAGTTTTTTGTCGGGATTGGGTCAACTCAAAGCTAATATGATATTGTCCGAAACCAAGGACCCCCACCTTGTACCACCCACCACCACAACCAATGCCCAATGCCACCCAGTCCACTCCACCATCTAACCGGGCTCTGATACCACTGTTGGGACTGGGTCGCCACCGAGTCCACTCCACCATCTAATCGGGCTCTGATACCAGTGTTGGGACTGGGTCGCTACCCAGTCCACTCCACCATCTAACCAGGCTCTGATACCACTGTTGGGACTGGTCAACTCAACACTAATATGATATTATCCGCTTTGGGCTGAGCCCGTACGGATTTGTTTTTGGATATTCTCCAAAAGGCTTCATACTAGTGGAGTTCACTTGAGACTTATAAAGTGTGAAATATTTCTTCACAGCTTCCGATGTAGGACTTAGGTTTGCACCCCAACATTTTTAAAAATTTAAAAAAATAAAAAAATTAGTATTTGATTTGATGTTTTGAGAGAAAAAAGGAAAAATATTCGATATGATATTTTTTGAAAAATAAATAGTATGGAATGAATGAAAGTGTATGGTGCAAACACAGCAATAGTCATCCATCCATACATGCTTAATTAACTCAACTTTAGATCACTATTTATGGCTTTGCTTGTGGATTAATATTATATATATATATATATATATCTCAAATTAATCAATAATAATAATAATCAAAATCAAAATCAAAATTAAAGATGACGTATATATGGAATCACATGACACGGCATTAGGTGAACAGCTAAAGATATGTCATTGACTACGTCGTCTATATATACATGCATCTCTTCTTCCAATTACTATTCCAATTCCAATTCCAATTCTAATTCTAATTCTCTCAAAAATTAATTAATTACTCACCAAAACATATCTTATCCAACATATATATATATATATATATACACATTCATATGGGTAGCTGCAGGCACTGGTTATTACCATATTCTGCGGCCTGCTGCAGTTTCTGCATGTTGATCCTCTTGCTCCAGTTAATGTTTTCAGCAGCAAATGAAACGACGACAGGCAATTATAGCAATAATAATGTTATTATGTTGAGCTTCGGATTGTACGTGGATAGCTGTCCTGAGGCAGAGCCAATAGTGTTTTCTTGGGTGGAAAAGGCCGTCTCGGAAGACCCCAGAATGGCGGCTTCTTTGCTCCGCCTCCATTTCCACGACTGCTTCGTTAATGCAAGCAAATTAATTAATTATATTATTAAATAGATTCTTTCTGACTTTTAATTAATTTATTAATAAATTAATTAATTGTAGGGTTGCGATGCGTCGGTGTTGCTTGATGACAGTGAGAATTTCATGGGAGAGAAGAGTGCAGCTCCAAACGCAAACTCCTTGAGAGGGTTTGAGCTGATTGATGCCATCAAAGCTGATCTTGAATTTCTCTGCCCCACCACTGTCTCCTGCGCCGACATCCTCGCCATTGCTGCGAGAGACTCCGTTCTTCTCGTACAATTACTACATACATATATCATCTTCAATTTCTTCTCTCTCTCACTCTATACATATATACACTTGTTTGGTTTACTTCTGTTTTTAGATAAATAAATAATGCGGCATCTTAACAAGTTAAACTTTACTCAGTCATTTATATCATCTAACACATTATCAGAGCTTAGATTTCGAGTTTGAGTCCCATCGTCTCCTATTTGTTGTTCACATACAAGTTCCATTTGGTGGCGTATCCTAAGAGTTTAACATTTTAAGTGAGTCGGACATTTATATAATCTAACACGCTGATACTGATAGTCGATAATCATAATTAATTGATTATCTTTTAAGTTAGTTGGTCATTTATATAATCTAGTAACACTGATACAGACAGTCAATCATCATAATTAATTGATTACATTTTAAGTGAGTCGATTATTTATATTATCTAACAACACTAATACTGATATTTGATCATCATAATTAATTGATTACCTTTTAAGTGAACCAGTCATTTATATCATTTAACAACACTAATACTCATAGTTGATCATTATAATTAATTGATTACCTTTTAAGTAAGTCGGTCATTTATATCATCTAACAACGCCTATACTAATAGTCGATCATCATAATTAATTAATTAATTATCTTTTAAGTGAGTCGGTCATTTATATCATCTAAAAATAGAACATGGATACTGATAGTCGATCGTCATAATTAATTGATTAACTAATTAGTCAGGTGGGCCGGGATGGCAAGTGCAGATGGGGAGGAGGGACAGCGTGAGCGCGAGCAAGACAGCAGCCAACAACAACATTCCCGGTCCGAATTCCGACGTCCCGACACTGCTGTCGAAATTCCAGGCCGCAGGACTCTCTCTCCAGGACATGGTCGCCCTCTCCGGCGCCCACACCATGGGCAAGGCCCGATGCTCCACCTTCAGCGCCAGGATCGCCGCCGGGCCCCCCGACGTCAATCTCGAGTTTCTCCAGTCGCTGCAGCAGCTCTGCTCCTCTCAGGCAGACGGAAACGCCACGCTGGCAGATCTCGACCACGTCAGCCCCACGGCTTTCGACAATCAGTACTACGTTAACCTTCTGTCCGGCGAGGGCTTGCTCGGCTCCGATCAGGCGCTGGTCGCCGGAAGTGATGAGACGCGGGCCATTATTGAGGCTTATGCTGCCGACGTCGGGGTCTTCTTTGAGGGTTTCCGACAGGCCATGGTGAGGATGGGAAGCCTTGTTCAGCTGCAGGAGGAAGGACAGATTCGGACAAACTGTAGGGTTGTCAATTCTTGATCGATTAATTCATTTCACCTCCGCTCCGACCCGACATCACATCAATCAATATATATATATATATATTATATATAATGCATGTCCTCTATCTGAAAAATAATATCTATATATATATATATATGTAATGAAATGAAATGCTTGGTACTATAAATATCATGCATGCAGGTTGTTGTTAAATGTGTTCTGGCCATGGTTTATAATATATGTAGTCAAGAAGGTATTTTGTTATCATTAAGTTTGAATTATATATATATATATATATTAAATAATCATTGGCAAGTAAGCACCAACAACATGTGTAGCAATTGTCAATTCCTCCGAAGTAGAATCATCAGCTTTGAAGAGATAATACGGTTTTTGTAACATAAAATTTTATCATTCCTTAACTAAAGGTCAATTTATTAATTCATTGATTAATGTCAATTAGCCTTTTAGGTTACGAATTTTATTTTTGATTTATTTTTTGTTGCTTCTACAACGATTTGGACACAAAATACACAAAATTTGAGTTTGAATTGTAGTTGTAGAGGGAAATTGTATCAAATCCTAAGAGTTCCTAAGAGCCCACAAGTGTCCTTGACATGGCATTAATTTCGTTTAAAGTTATGAACTCTTCTACTCTATATTATATATTTTAATGTTTGTGTTTTTGGGATTTCAATATTTTCTAGCAAATTCATGCCAATATCTTGCTTTTTGTGTCGTAAATTGTTTAAAATTATGAAACGTTAAAATTTATATAGCTTTTTCCTTATATATTGTTTAAACAAAATGGTAAGAATGAAATATATTGGTGAAGTAAATGGCTCCAAAAAAATAATACAGTTAGTTACATGCCTATTTTACATGATTTTATTATTTTATATGCACAATTACAATTGCATGTTTATTATATCATAGAATATTACGAGTAACAAAAAATTTTTTATACATAAAAAGAATTGTAAAGCATTAATGTAGTTTTTTAAGTAATAAAAGTTTGAGACTTACAAAAAGATACTGGTGATCCATATTCAACACCGTAGTGTGTCCTCGGTGGTTTTGGACTAGAGGAATGACCGGTTTGTTACACCATATATTGTTACGCTTTTTGGACAATTTGATTTCAATGATTTTTTTATTTTTTATTTTTGGTTGCTTACTGTATATTCCTATGTTCAAATTTTACATGATAACTAAAGTATAAATAATAATAAAAAAAAAGTGTTTATTATGAGTTTCATTACTTTGTTGGTCAATTATCTTGTGAATGAAAAAATAATTGTTTTTCATGGACAACTCTCTGTATTTATGATTTTATTTTATTTTTTTCATGGAAGATACACCAAATGGTTTGAAGTAAATAAAGAATATATTTAGACACAATATATGACTTATGTTGAATTTCGAATTTCTTTCTGAAATGAATTCTAAAGTGTTGGAAAAATTTTATACCGCGAAAATATCAAATAATTATCGAAATACAAAATTTGATATCAAAATAATTTATCGTAATTAATTCAATAATCAATCGAAATAAATTCGATAATCAATAATAATTTATCGAAATAAATTCGATAATCAATTTATCAAAATAATTTTGATAATTACAACAATTTTATCGAAATAAATTTGATAATCAATTTATCAAAATAAATTTGATAATGACAATAATTTTATCGAAATCAATTCGATAATCAATGTATCAAAATAAATTTGATAATCACAATAATTTTATCGAAATAAATTCGATAATCAATTTATCAAATAAATTTGATAATCAAAATAATTTTATCGAAATAAATTCGATAATCACGTTGAGCCGAGGTGGAACCTCTTTCCGTAAAAACAAATATGCCCCGGTAGTGCCTCCGGTTCGTGGCGTAACGTTTCCAAAGATAAAACGACGTTCGTCTCCGAATTAGGTGACACCCCAATATTTCGGAGCTCCGGCGAACTAATATAAAGGGATTGAAGCTATATCGGGAAGCTAGACAAGTATAGATTCTGGAGCTTGCCGAAAAACTCGCCAGAAATTGAGTAGGTTGGAGAGGATTAGAGAAGAAGAAGTGTGGTGTCGTAATTGGGTGGTGGAGAGGGTCTTTTATAGGGGTTTAGTAGACCCTGCTCTCGCGAGCCGTGCTCCTACTAAAGGTAGGCCAATAAACTACTGTCAGGTGGCAATGTCCTGACTTTATGTTTTATTTTTTCTTTTTAATTTATTTATATACAGTTATTATTATTATGAGACTTGTTATTAATATTGATATAACCGTTAGATATATGCATTTATGATAGGAACGTTGTACAAATAAAGTTTTAGGGTTTAAACTACGGGTATATTATGCAGACATATTTTGTCGGTATTTACAAATACTAAACAAATTATGATACCCGAAAAATATATTTTGAAGACATGGACTAAAGATGCCAAAAGCGCATCATTCTCTACACTAAGTGACAATGCAACTCAAAATAGTAATAGTAATTTGCTTACTGAGTTGGCATTTGTCAATACAACAATAAAGAAGTTTTATAATCTTACTTCATTAGCCAAAACCAATGCAGAAGCAAGATTGGTTATAATTGAGGGTATGAAAATCATAAAAGAAAAAATGCGAGCTTGCTTGGGAAGTATGGATTTAAATGATGCAAATATTTGCAATGATGTGTCTCCCGATGAAACTGAAGTTCTTGTACGTGATCCACCGACTATGAAAAGGAGAGGAACCATAGTCAATATTCATAAGCGTCGGATGACAAGAATAAGAAAAAAAAAAAAAAAAAGATTGTCGCATCAAGTAAGTTAAATTATATGCTATATAAATTTTTTTTTTATGTTATATTATGTTTATTTGTTATAAAAGTATTTTGATGTTTATTATTGTTATAGGAAAAAATGCTATTTCAAAAAGGAGTTAAAGCATACTACCATGTGATAATTTTCAAGGAGGTCCAAGTACACAATTGTGTGTCTCAATTCATGTCATTTTCGTATGCAACACTAAGTTCAAGTAGAATTGACGAACTTCAAATAAGGATAAGATAAGACCCTTGATTTTATTTCAAATATTTAATTGGAACGTTTGATTTGTATGTTTTGTAATGAACCACTTCTTTTATTTATTTTTTTACATTGTTGAACACTAAATTATTTTATTTAAAAATAGTAGAATTTTGAATGTGATAAAAAATACTAGTTAATTTTTATGTAGATATGTATTCTAAAGTAGTGCCTGTATATTAAAAATAATTATCAAAATAAATAAAATTTTTGTTTATATTACGAATAAAAATTATATTAACTTTTTTTAGAATTTTTTTTTAATTTTCCACTAAATTGAATTAACTGAATCATATTATTTTTAAATTAATAAAAAATTATTATATTTTGAAATTATTAAATAAATAAAAAAAAAAAGTATATAAATGTATGTTGACTGTGTTAATATATATATTTAGCAGAGAATGTTAAAAAATAAAAACACGCACCCAATCAATAATAAAACTACAAATAATAATTATTACAAGTAAAACAAAATAAAAAACATTAATAAAATTAAGATTGTTTAATTAAATTGTATTATTAATGATAATACCATATAATAATAATAATAATAATAATAATAATAATGATAAATAAATAAAAAAACGTGGCAACCATATCAATATTAATAACAAGTCTCCTAATAATAATAATAAGTGTACATAAATAAATTAAAAAGTAAAAATAAAACATAAAACAAGGATATTGTCATCTGACAGTAGTTTATTGGGCCACCTTTAGTAGAGCATTGGTCTACTAAACCGAGAGGGCTTTTTATAGGTACCTCCATCAAGTGGGGCAATTAACGCCCAAGTCAAAACCTCCGTAATCGACGATAATTAAATTCTGGTAATGTTCGGCCATAAACACCATACTTAATTCCGTTCATAAACATCAATTTAATTTCGATCATAAACACCAAATTTAATTCCGGTCATAAATATATTATTTGAATTTCAAATAATTATTTATCATATATGCATGTAATTATCTGGTCCGGACAGGTGACACGCGTGCTTGTGACTTACCAGCATTTATATACCTAACCACACTATCAATAACTACCTGTGACTTACCGGTATTTTAAGCTCATACTAAACAAAAGTGGAAAACCTCTATCATATCTTCTACCGATGCCCAAATATTTTTGAACTACATATAGTATTTTTTCTAACAAGTTGTTTTTAGAAGTACCCGATTTTAATAGTTTGAAAATCACTTCTAAAAAAAAAATCACTAATTGCTATGGAATAATTTTGTCACAATTGACAAATTTTCTGTCGCAATTTCTAGTTACGAAAGAACATACAACCAAGTGAACCAGTGAGAGTTGTTGTAAATACTTTCATAATAGTGAAACGACTATGATAATTTTTTGTCACAGAATATTGTATCGGAATTAATGACCCACATTTCCATCACAACTCTTTTTTGATAACATTAAAAATTGCAAGGGAATATATATGTTGCTAATTTCATCGCAAGTTTTTGAAACATAATTTTGCTACTAAAAGTCACTAATGAAATAAAAAATTGCAAGAAAATATATTTATTGTTAATTATGACATAATTTCCTTAAGTAAAACTTTTTCTACTGTTTAATTTAATGTTCTCACTCATTTTTTGCCTATTTTTTTCAAAACTGCATATAACAAATATTAGTTCAATCCCCAATAATTAATCCAATTTAACAACTCAATTAATAACTCTCGTAAAAATATACGATAAATAAAAAATATACAAATTTCAAACCTAAACAAACTCTAATGAACCACATACATTATAATACAAACAAAATAAATTTTGTGTTAGTACTGAAGTTAGCAAATGTAATACATCTTGATACAAAATAATAAAGCATTTTGATACCGGAGTACTGCCACCATTTAAATTAAGGTCGGACATATGAATGGATGATACTCTCATATATGTTGTAACTGCTCCATGAGGGTCAAATTCAAATTTTATGTCTTAT